TCACCAAAGTTTAGAAAGTATAGTGAAGATGAAATAGCAAAAGAATATGTTAAAATGAACAAATTTAAGTTCATGTTCTTTAACTACTAAAGTGCCGATTACCACCATATCACTGTGAACTTACCCTAAAACTAACTGGGCCAAATGGAAAAATTGCCGCGAGAAATAATACATTTAAACTTCAGATGTTTGTCAACTATTATCTGACTCCAGATCAAAAATTTTATCTGACAATTGGCAAAAAAGCTATAAGGTGTCTCATTAGCAAGAAACATTATGAAAACTATATATGTTAATAGAAAAAAACAGTGGACCCAATCATTATTTCTGTGGGAAATAAAGAAACTGATGATGATGATAATGCCTCCTTATCGGAAGAAGACAACTATATTTATAATGTAACGATATAAACATCACATCTTTAATAATTTATATTTAAGTAATTATTTTATTTTAATCTCTTTATTAATTGCTTAACCGTTAATTTTTTTTACTATTTTTGCTTCAAAAAACAGTTGGGGATCTCTCTCTTTCTGCCCGATAGACTAAATATTCTGTTCTATGTTGACAGAAGAGCTAATTCCATCATAGATATATATTCTATGGCATCTGTGCTATACTTCATTGTAGTAACTCCCCACTATTTCAGTCAATTAGTCAGTCAGTAGTCAATTCTTTTCTAACGTGTTGGGATATTCTTTTTGTGTGTAGTTGAAATTTATAAAAGAAGGAAATATCAAATAAGGTTCACTTTATCGTGTGCAGAAATTTCTTTGGGGTGAGTCCTTTTTAATTGATTGGGTGAGTTTAATTTATAGTTTAAGACAAGACGGATTCACACTTGAGAGACTGAGCTGGGCGAAGCATAAATGATAAGCTCCCATAGTTGACTGAGGTATTATTTTATAATAGTATTTCAATTCTATTTGGTAGTCTTATTGTTACAATATTACTAACTATCAGTTTATATGACACTAGTACCCGAAATATATTTATTATTTAATTATAAGGAGATGTCCTAAACCAATATTTAGTATTTTTTATATAAAAAAAATTAATGTGGGTACGTAATATTGACATTTTAATTTTTTTTCTTATTAAAGTAATTTTATGTGCTCCGTCACTGAGGCATTCACTTGTCAAAATAACTGTCAAACTTATTGTAAATTTTGGGATTCTCCCTGAAAAATATTAATTTTTGGCGGTTTTCTGAAGATAATTGTAATTCTGATAACTAATTATTAATCTTCTCGAAATTTGGTATATTCAAATTGATTATTTGTAAATAAATAAATGTTTATTGATCCAGTCAATGTGAAATAAAAGTGAGCTCTAAGTAAAGAGAAAATGTTTCCAACAGGAAACGGACCAGGATCAAATGATTTTCAGTACCCTACCCTACAGTGCAGTTTCCAACTGTAATGCAGAACGAGCCTACAAATCTAATACATCCGTATTATCAAGTAAGTCAAATAAATACTCAAGATTCACCATTGTCCTAAAATCAACCAACAGTCAACCTAATGATACCTTTTGATAATTATCAACAACAATATCCGGTACAGCCAAACGGTAGTTTCCGAGCAAACCAACTTTTCTCATTCTACATTTAATTCTCAAGCTAACTTAAACTTAAAAAAACAATCAAGAAATACAGATTGAATATGATTCGATAGTCAGATAAAGAACATGAAGACTCTCAAAATAATAAACACCCATTAAATGATACGAATCAATACTCAGAAAAAAACTCCTTAAATGATACGAATAAAAATCCACCAATCTCAAAACCCCCTCCAATTTTTATATATGGCCTGATGACTATAGAAATGACAGATAATTTAGCTCAAGCAGTAGAAGTAGAAACTTACTTCACTAAAGCTTTAACAAACAACACAATAAAAATTTTACCAAAGACACCTGAATCCTACAGAAAACTAATACATCACGTACGAGAGGAAAATATCGTCCACCATACATACCAACCTAAGGAAGACAGAGCATACAGAGCAGTTATTCGAGATCTACATCACTCTTTTCCAATAGATAAAATAAAAGCGAAAATCCAGAAAAAGGGTCATAAGGTAAGGAACGTTACAAATGTCAGACACAAGGGTTGAACCACCGAGAACTAAAAGAAATGTACCATAATGTACACGATGTCAAGAATATGGTCACACTAAAACGTACTGTGCAAAACCATATAATTGCGTAAAATGCGCTGGATCACACAACACAAAGGACTGCAAGAAACCAAAAAACACGCCAGCAACTTGCACTAACTGCAACGGAGACCATCCTTCTAATTACAGAGGATGTTCTATTTATCGTGAACTACTAAATGTCAGATACCATGACAAATCAAAACAAATCACCACTCAAAATCCTGTCAACAATCCCAATGTAAATATACCTACCCAACATCATGCTCATAATTTCAACAGAATCAGTTATAGAGATGCTACCAGTGGAAACATACATGCAGATACCACAAATTACAACAATGAATTAGCAGATAAACTATCAAATTTCCTAAATGAATTCAAAAATATGTTCTCTCAACTCTTAAACCAAAATAGCATGATTTTAACCATGTTAACTACAGTCATTAACAAAATAACAAAATAGCTTTCACATCACTATGAATTGCATCGTGCAATGCTAATGGAATTTCAAACCATATATTAGAGATATCACTGTTTTTAAAAATGTATAATATAGACATTTTGTTAATATCTGAAAGCCATGTTACAGAAAAACGGTTATTAAGATACCTTACTATAATGTGTATTATGCAAACCATCCAGACGGAGGAGCACATGCAGGTTTCTGCCGTTATTATTAAATCAAAAATTAAACACTATGCAGTCCAACCTTATATTACGGAAAAAATTCAAGCAGCAATCATTAAAATCGAAACAAACACCTCCCTCAGTGTATCATCAGTCTACAGCCCACCTAGACATCCAATTTCAAGCGAAGAGTATCATGATTTCATACAAACTCTTGGATCCAAATCCATAGTAGCAGGAGACTGGAATGCCAAACACACGACATAGGGTTCCAGATTAATCACGCCTAAAGGTCGAGCATTAATGAATATCATCCAACAAAATAACTTAGATACTTATCTACGGGAGAAACCAGATACTTGCCTACGGATGCTAAAAAAATTCCAGATTTGGTTAATTTTGTTGTAACAAAAGGGATGGATATCTGACATTCATAGTGCAATAGAGTCAAACTTCGATTTAACATCAGATCACAGTACAATAATAATAACTTTAAGTACACACATAATATGAAGAACACCACCACCCAAACTCACAACTAAAGAAACAAACTGGGATGTTTTCCAAAATTCTGTAAATACAAAAATTAGACTAGATATTAGGATAAAAGAAAATCAAAAGGTAGAGAAAGCAGTAGACTATTTAACAACAGTTTTACAAACAACCGGATGGGAAGCAACACCACAGCGCCAAAGAAGTGTGCAAGAAAACCATAATATCTCCCTTCATTTAAGAGAACTTGTAGCAGAAAAAAGAAGAGCTCGACGCATATGGCAACAAACGAGAAATCTACTAAATAAAACGTACCTTAACAGGATAAGTCATAGATTCAATAGAGCATTATATGAAGAAAAAAACGACTCTTTCCAGTTTTATGTCGAACCTCTCACATGAAGACCACTCTATATGGAAAGCTACAAAAAAGTTTAAACGACCGACAATAACAAATTCACCTTTAAGAAAAACAGACATGACCTGGGCTCGCACAACCGCACAGAAAACAACAGTGTTCGCAGAGCATCTTGCAACTGTATTCGCAGCACCAGATACTAATAACGATGACGATGATGATATAAGAATGTACCTCGAAACTCCATGTCAACTATCTCTTCCTCTGACAACATTTACTCCGACAGAGGTTCGACAACAAATAAAAATGCTAAATCCAAGAAAGCTCCTGGATATGATTTGATAACAGGGAATTACTTCAGAAGCTACCGAGAAAAGCAGTGGTGCTATTAACAATAATATACAACAGCATACTACATCTGCGATACTTTCCAATACAATGGAAATTTGCTCAAGTTACTATGATTCCGAAACCTGGTAAGCCCGCAACGCAAGCAAATTCATATCGCCCTATAAGCCTACTTCCAATAATGTCAAAAGTATTAGAAAGGCTAATATTAAATAAAATCGAGCAAGTTGTTCCCATAAACGAAATTATACCACAACACCAATTCGGATTTAGACGTGAACACTCAACCATCCAACAATGCCACAAAATAGTAAATATAATTAAAACAACTCTTGAAGAGAAAAAGTTTTGCACTGGAGTGTTTCTAGATATACAACAGGCATTTGATAGAGTATGGCATGAAGGTCTCCTTTAAAAACTAAAATTACACCTAATAGACCAACTATACTTTATACTAAAATCAAAGAAAAGAAAAAAGTCAAAATTAAAGACAGCTACTCAAATTAACACATCATAGAATCTGGCGTACCTCACGGTAGCGTTTTGGGGCAATGTATCTGATATTTACAGCAGACCTTCCAATCAGCAATGATACCTTCTTAACTACATTTGAAGATTGACCCCACCTGTATTCAGACCTTAGCTATAAAATTTTTGCTATCAATCATTTTCAAATGCTCTATAGGCTGTTAAAATATTTTTTAGGTGAAGATAAATCTTATTTCTGACTTTTGAAAGATGAAAACTCACTGGAATACTCTCCCCTACAAGTCATTTAAAACGTATATGTAACTTATAAATTAAGTAAACTGAAAGTCATTAGAAATACTTCTTGTCAATGTACACAGATTTTGTGAATAAATTTTTTCTTTGTTTCTTATGTCGATTTCTGAAGATTTCCGCGAACAGCTTCAAACTAAACTACTTGTGGTTTTTTCATCATAAAGATTACAAGTAACTGCTATTTGCTAGTTGCTTGTTTTGTATTATTTATTTACTGTCATTCTTACCCCCTTTTTCTGCATTGAACAGTATAATTCTCACCCCAAATCTTCTTTACATTGCTATAAGTCCATTGTCATGCATGCGGTATACTGTTGTACGTACAGTGTGATAAATTAATTCAATTACTTTGCATTAAACACCTTCCCGTAGCGTCTGATAATCATCAGATTAGGATTTAGAACGGCGAGTGGGCAGATGGACCAGTGACGTGGAGTGAAAGGGGTTCGCACATGAAATTTTGATAGGTAAATACTAGAATTAATTTAGAAAGTGGCTAAAGGTGACAAAAATATTTTATAATTTATGTATGGGATATAAATATATTGCCCATTGTTACTTTTAAGTAAATAATTTTAAAGAATAGAAGAAGTGAACCAACATTAAATTAAAAATAGATCATTTAATAAATCTCAGACATATAAATATGCTTATATGCTTGTGACAATGAACATATAATCGAAAGGAAAGATACATAAGGAGTTTTTAAGAGAAACAGATACTAAAAGAAAAATAATAAGGAAGCTGGGATTAGAAGAGACAAATTATGTAACAAACTCATGAATGTAACAAGATCTGGCTAACCATAGTAGAAGATCCTAGTAAGAATATGCTATTTTTACGATAATAAATGTTATGGCGTATAAAACTGTAAATATTTTATGACTAATTCTTTTTTTATTGATTCTCGTAATTTCTAGGTCAAAATCTACCTGACACACGATGGGTTCCCCTTCGCTATAAAAACAACAAATAAGAGCTTTCTGGAACCGCACCGATACCAGTTTTTAGATCATTGCCGCTCTGTCTACGTCGAGGAGGGCATCGTATTTTCGACAACATTCTATTTACCAGCTGGTTTCATATAAATAACGGAAGATTTTCATTGAGCGGTTAGTGAAGAAAAGAAACTCGCGGACGTGATTTAAAATGTACGAACGTAATAAATAGTTGTACAGTTATTTCATAAATTGATAATAAATTATCGTGAGTTTTAATAAATTAGAATAAAGACAATAAATTAGAACTACAAAAAATATAACACTATACGCCAATATTCAAATTTGGGAAGCCAAATCATTACAGTTATCCCGAACTTCTCTAGAATCTATAAAGTCCTGGCAAAGGGTGGTGCTACCATTAAAGAAGTAGGTTTCGTAAAGAAGGCTAGTGGAGAGTTTACGGAGACCAAAGAGGAAAGATTTAGAGAACTCATTAACACACGTTTCGGCCTCAAAAACTCTGAATGATGTTGATAGGTGAACCAACATAGACTACAGGCCGACTAGGCCAATTTCTAGAAGCTGAGAAATAACCACAGCAGTCACAAGACCAAGTGGAATTAGATGGGCTATAAATAAATTTTAACCATATGCCTATAAATAAATAAATTTTAACCATGTATGTCTCCAGGGACAGATGGCATATAGCCGATATCCACAAGGAACATGAAATTTCTGTAGTTGGCTTTATATCATAAATTACAAAAAAATTATTTAAGAAACCCTCATAAATAGTATATATATATATACATATATATATATATATATATATATATATATATATATATATATATATATATATATATATATATTCTACAAAAACTTTTCGGGCTACATTACCGAACGTTTTGGGACTAATAAGTCCATCATCAGTGCAGTTTCCAGGTATACGTGAGTGAAGCCACTAAATATGTGTATAAAAACCTTTCAATGATATTAAATGTGTTAATTACGACATATTCAAAATTCAAATTTTTAACATATCGAGGCAAGGTGTCTCTATGAGTTCTAGGTAGCGACCCAAAAGTCACTCTATGACCCACTTTGACTCAGGGTCAGCAACTCCTGGGAGTCCCGCGTTACCATGAAGTGAATCTGTTAAAATTTCAACATCATTTGAATTTATCAACAAAAATGTAATAATTAACTGTTTCACTGTAACATTAAGTTTTTCACTTATGTATACCTATGGTCTGTTTTTTAACCAGGAGGAGTAATTCAAATTTTCCGCGCCCTAATGCTTTTTTGTAATTGGTCCAATGGCAGGCAAGCTTACTCCACTAAATTATGACACATTGACACTAATGACATTTGTGAAATTTTAAAATTAAAAAAATTTATATCGACGATTTTTTGTATTTTCTGCGTTATTCCTTACATTTTTCGTTTGCATTTATATAAAAAGCAGTTCTTTTCAGAACTATTTAGCAACATATTAGTGTCATTAAGATAACAATATGGATTCAATGCCAAGTACTAGTGGTAATTATATACGATGATTGACTTATTGTCTATATTATGAATGTCTTACCATAGTTATTTTTTAGGTGAAATTATTCAAAGAATGGTTTATACATTGGGCTGCTGACCAAAAACAAAACTTTCTTACTCAAATATCTAAAATAGATTCAGTTTTTGCTAAAAAACTAAATGAAGAAATTCAAAATGGTGTAGTTGTGCACGAACCTCACCAAGACATAAATAGGGAGGATATTTTGGAAGACTAATAAAATTATTAAATTTTTATTTTTACATACATCCCGAATAATATATTATGCACTGAATATTATTTTCCTCTAATAGGTATATAAATCGATTTCTGACTCTTTAAGTTGTTTTTGTAATAACTTGGACTAGGTGATATGTGAAGAGTATTTAATGTGATATTTTCTAGATGATATTTATACTAAATATAGTTTAAAGTGTTTATAAATTTATAAATGTATGCTATTTATATCTAATTATCCTAAGACAAACGGCAAGTATCTTTTAATTTTAGTGTATATCTACTTGTTAAGAAGCATTTTCATTTTGTTTTCATCACAATAAAATATCAAAATTATTTATTGATAACAAATGGGACAAACTCACTGTCAAAATTAAACAAGAATCCAGCATTAAAGAAATTGTAAGTATACACTTATTTATACAAAGTATCTTTTTGCATTTTAGTGCTTCAAATAGAACCTTAAGATATTGATACATAAGTTAAACAAATCTATCTAATGAGGTAACTGATTAGATGTATGAAAAGTAGGACCACACCTATATGTGAACCATAATTTATTATGTGATGGGAAACATGAAAAAGTGAATTCTAAAACAGTGAACGGGAAGGAATATGTAAAACAAAGTGGCTGAAGCAATTCAAGAGATTGCATTATTAAGCTTAAAAATAATGATCAAAGTTAAAGTTAGCTCTTCTGGTAAAAAAAAAACTAGATTCAAGAAATTGATCATACCAGTATAAGAATATGGTCTACGCAGTTTAAAAGAACAGTATTTCAGAAATCTTCGAACTCTCTATAACTTTTTGATACGTGCATTTGTATAGCTTTGTTGCATATAAGATCTATTTGCAAATTAAAAGACAAATTTTTGTGAAAAACCATACTTAGATCTTCAACATTATCGACTCTCCGGATCAAAATATTCTCTAAATTATAATTAAATACCATAGACTCAAGAAATCTATAAAACTGTATATTCTATTATGTATCTATAAAAATATATAAAAATGTCCTTTTTTTATTCTAATAATTGTAAAATATATTGGAAGTGAATTGAAAAAACTATTATTCAAACACACATAAACAAAGTTAGGTTAAAATTGACGTGTAAGATTGTCCGATATTGATTACTCGATTACCGCAAGGCCGAGATAATCAACAAAAAAAGATGTATTTGGTGACTTTTCTAGTAACTTTCTTGGGTGTGAATCTGTCTTTTTGGTTTACTCCTCCTGGTTAAAAAACAGAGTATAGTAATTGTACTGATAATTTTTCGACTGTTCTAACAACCATTCAAATTTCGTCATTTTGTGTCATGTGGAACAATTTCACCCAATCATGTCAACATTAGACTGATAATTGCATTCAGTGCAATTTTAAATCCCTATGACAACACGATCGAGTTTGACAACTTCATCCAAATAAATTTCAAAATGTCACGTTTCGGCAATGAGAATGTTCAAAGTATAAATGCGCTAATCAAAGAAACAATTCCCAGAAATAGATAACAAATCACTCGAATAGATCAACTGCTGTTAGCGAATTAGCAAAAAGTGGTGTAGAAGAACAACAATTGCTAAAAATTACTGGTCATGGCAATGAGAATTCTCTAAAACCATACTTGAATCTCGATCAAGAACACCACAACAAGATTATAAATATTATGCGTGGTAATAGATCTTCTATAGTAGAGAACAGCAACGAATCTAATGTTAACTTAAATTTTAATAATTGTACTTTCACTAACTGTACTTTTAATAAATAAATGTTTCGTTATGTTGAGTAATGATTTTTTTTTTCGAAAAATTATCCGCCGAATATCCCTCGGACATTGATGAATGCCTCATAATTTCATGACAAATTTCTCAAGCTCGTTGCTCAAGGAACGAGCTTTCGATTGTCATGAAATTATCTTGTCTGTTGTCAATGTCTTAGGGATGTTACTACTGATAATGGAATTATTATTAAGAAAACGTTTTGTGATGTAGCACGAATATATATATTTATATATATATATATATATATATATATATATATATATATATATATATATATATATATATATATATATATATCCCTTTTATAAAGGATCTGTGTAAACAAATGAAGCATGAAGGTATTGATACTACACATATGTAAGATCCTTAAAATTAGTTTAGCATCAGGGTACCGGAAATATGAAAAAAGGTTAAAGTCATATTTTTGTCTAAGGTAGGCAAAGTCAGACTTAACATAGTCATATTGATCAATGAGACTATCGCTTTTCTATTAAAAGCGCTGGAAAGGATTCTGGATAGGTACATAAGAGACCAAATGCTAAACTATAATCCTTTAAGCAATGGTCAATATTCATATCAACCTGGCAAATCTACGGATTCAAAGTTAAATAATCTAGATAGGCTTGATACCTCAAAGTCAATAGAGGACAAAAATATAGCAATGGTCACTTTTTAGATATTGAAGTGGCATTTAATGTTATTACCAACTCTTTGACAAACGCAATGACTAGCC